TTTAGTGTTTCCTCAAAGCAGTTTTGTGTTTCAAACAGCAAAAGCCAAAGAGATAAAACATGACATCTACTCTTTTTAACAATAGTAAACAATCCTGCTGACTTGTTATTGTGCGCCTCAGCTTCAGAGTCACTGTTGTTGTCCAAATCCCACATTTTCAACAAAATAGGCAGATGTCCTTGCAAATTAAATAGCTTATATCTTCAGTTATTGACTTTAAGTCAACTGGGTGGAATTATCAGCTGATGTGCTCTGAAGGTAGCTGCTAACAACACTAGCACTATTACTCGCCTCAAGCTGACTGCCCTCGCAGCAAACTGTCCTGTTTTCATCGCTTCAATAATGTGTCACCTTCATAACATCAGTACAAGTGAGGTTCGTGTTAAAGGGCTTTCAGATAGGATGTGGTATGTGCTGCACGCTGGGAGGAGGGCCCATATGCGCAAATCACGCACATATTGGGCGCCAGTTGGTAGGCAACCAAAAAGATTTTCACGAGGTGGTTAGCAGATATTAACTACTTTTCTGAGCTACGGACTTGGATGTACGATGTATTTATCTACACGTCTACAAAAAGCTCTGGCGTTAGTTGCATTGATGAGGAGGAGGAGACGAGCTGCAGCAAAGAAGAAGAATGTGTGGGTTCACCAAAATCAGATTCTCCTCCATTTTCTTTGTGGTCTGTCAGGTTCTCTTCAATTGGACGTGTCAAGATGACGTCACAGAGCATTGCACCCAAGTTGAACTTTTTTTAACTTTAGTACAGCCTTCTTACACCATGCAACACACAGAAATGAATGGGGTAGATAACAGAGCGCAAGGCCCACCACCTCCTATCTGAAAGCCCCTTTGCTCCTCCCTATATACTCGACACAAGTTCTACATGTGTTAGCTGCTATCAACACTAGCACTGTTGCTTCCCTCAAACTGACTGCTCTCATAGGTAACTATACCCTTTCCATCAGAAAGTGTTGCCTTTGTACCATTTCTACTTGCAAGGTCAGTGGTACTGCCGGTATAGGCTACTCAGCGGAAGCGCTGCATGTTCTGCACTCTGAGGTAGCTGCTAACACTAGTACCATTTGCTCCTGCAGGTGTTTGTACTATGCGTGGTGTTTCTCCTGGACCTGCATTATTAAGGAAGAGGTATGTTTGAAGAAGAAACTAGAGCACAGCACAGCAAGACGTAACAAAAAGTTTGCCAAAGATTGATTTAGGAGGTCTATATGGATTTTAGACAGTTTTTCACACAAATTTGAATCGAATTTGTGGTTTTCAACCAATGCAGCCATGAATGTGACCCTTGTTGCCAATTTCCCAATTTGTACCAGTTTATCTTTGCACCACTAATGCTGACTTATTTACTGATGTCTACTGATGCTGAAAAATGATAAATTAAAATTAATGTTGTGCAATTTCTCAGTGTAAAAGTATATGCATACAGCATACTGTATATATACACTTTGTACTTGTGAAAAAAAAATCAACAAAGTGGGCACTGAGCGCCACAAACAGACATGGGTCTAAGGTGTCTGTTCCCACAGTCAAGGTTCCCCAGTTTCCACCAAAATACCAAATAAGCTTTGCATTGCTTCATTTGAAAGAACCTGGATTCTGTTTGCACTTTCCCTCCACCTGTTCACCCTACACTCTGCAATGGGCACCAAACACCACAGAGACGACCAAAGCAAACTTGAAGGTCAAGAAAATATCAGTTGGAGATCTTAGACTACCTTTTACCAATGGGCTCTTTTTTCCCGTTTTCTAGCAATGATTTGATTATATAAAGAACATCCAGATATATTGACATACATTCGGTTAGGCTATCTTATTTACAAAAAATATGAAGTCACTGGTATATGCAGACAACACGATATACAGTATATTGCTAGACAAAACAATACAAATTGTAATGTTCTGGTATTGCGATATACTGAATGCTGATATACTGTCCCATCCCTGCCATTTACAGTTTTTTAAGGACCATAAATGTGATGCATCTGAACCTGGGGAGACGTTACCTTGAGGTAGTTAAGTAGATTCTCCTCTGAATAGGTGTTTGTTAGCAATGTTGTGACTTCACCTGTGTTGTATTATTTTCACAATTAATCAGTGGGTGTGGCAGTATCTTTCTTACTAGACATTACTTTGAGTTGGACATGGACATGCTCATCTGCCTCTTTATGTTTATTGATCCCACTGCTCTGAGGACCCTGTGGCCGTTCATCTCAGTCAAGGCACTCTGTTCTGGCTCCACAGGGGTGGATGAAAATTACAAATGGTGTGGGTGTCTTACCAAGGCTTGATCCTGTTTGTGGTTTTGGACCTCCAGAACAGTTTGTCCAGGTCCTGTCTGATACACTCCCACAGGATGTGACCAGTGCCCTGACCCTGTTTACTGCTGCTCACCACTAACTTGTCAAGGTAAGCAGTGCCATTGTTCACTGGTTCCATGGTGATAATGGCTGCTGCGCTGTAGCTGCAGGGATAGAACCGTGAAAAATCTTTAAGAAAGACGTTCAAGGGGCTTTTAAGAAACAGAGGATGTAGGTTACACTACTAACTCTGATAGGGATTTATATGTCCTCATGTGGGTATGAATTTAAGACAATTGGACAGATTTTTCCTGGAACAGTTGCACACACCTTTCAGAGAGGTAGATGTAGTGCAGCCGTCCTTTCAGAGAGTCAATGTAGTCTGGCTTCAGAGTTGCATCAAACGACTTGTTGATAAGAGCCAGAAGACGCTCCACATCAATCTCATCCAGTGAGCTGTACCTGCACACACACACACAAATATTTGTACAGCTTTCTTTGTGAGGACACTGACTGACATAATGCATTCCATGGTCTCTTACCCTGACCTAACCTTAACCTGCTCTAACCTGAATGACTCTAAAATGTAATGATTTACATGGTTGATCCACATGAGGAAGACCAGGTCCCCACAATGTGAGTGTGTAAACAGGCTTCAGTTCCCACCAGAGATGTCCACAAGTCATAAACTGCAAGCCCTAGTCAAGTCTCAAGTCTTTAAGGGTGCCAATATAATCTGTCTAATCAAAGAGCATTTAGTCCTATTGTATCCATTCCTACTGTGGTGTATTAGCCAATAAGGGTTTATAGTGGGTTAATACTGTGCCCTCTGAGTCGCCTACACTAACTTTTCTCTTGTTAAATTCTGTGAACCTGCAGATACATAAGGAATCTGAACCAACATACAGAAGTTATATACTTCCCAGGCAAACTGCTAGGCTAAATAACAGAAATACAATACACTGCAGTACAGTTCAATAGAAGGTAAGACAGTTGGCAGTAATATACAGTATGTGAGTATTGGTCTGTGGTGGTGCATAAATTTTAAATTGTACACTGACCAGAATATACTAGCTAATATAACTTCACCATGGGCTGGCTGTGTCAGCATGAAGCAGGTGCACATCTTGCAGTCGGCACTTAAATTGTCCGTGAGTGTCTGGGGATTTATCATTTTTGAACTCTGCTACAGTGGACATTCTAGCAACATGTGAAATAAGTGTTAGCGAGCTAGTTGACTGGAGAGCTCCACATTTCCACCATGGATCCCAACCAAGCTCATAATACTAGTCATCAATAAAACGAACATTATTCAAATATATCTCTCCATTCCCCTCCTTGAACCGCCACCTTATTGTGGTGGAGGGGTTTGAGTACCCGAGTGATCCTAGGAGCTATGTTGTCGGGGGCTATATGTCCCTGGTAGGGTCTCCCAAGGCAAACAGGTCCTGGGTGACGGGTCAGACTAAGAGCAGTTCAAAAGCCCCTTATGAATAGATTTAGATCAAGGACCGTGACGTCGCCCGGCATGGCGCAGCCGGGGCCCCACCCTGGAGCCA